GGTGGTGGTGTGTGTGTGTGTGTGTGTGTGTGTGTGAGAGAGAGAGAGAGAGAGAGAGAGAGAAGGTTGTTAAATATTTTGCAGCACATACAGTCTTTTTTTCCTTCCTTTGGCTAGAAAGTCAGTATTTTGGTTCATCTAGAGACAATACCATTGTGGTCAGCGTGTGTTCCAGGGGCCCTATTCTCAGGTCTGCTACACCCCTTTGTGGTGGAAGATCTGGCCAGCTGAGAGTCATCCTCCACACACACACACACATATATCCACAGAATTAATCTGTCCAATCAAGCCAGTCATCCATAAGAAAAACAGGGTTTTAAGCACTAATCTGATTTCCTCACTTAACTACTAATTTGACTTCTGCAAATGTATTTTGCAGGTTTTACTGTACATACTATGAACGGTTCACTGCAAGTATTGAATAACTATTTTTATTTGTGTTATGTTAGTTAGTTGTGATTGATCACATGGTATTAATTCTGTTCCTTGATTGGGTTGGCATAACTCTTACTGCAAGCACTTTTGGTGCAACTATTTATCTATGAACTAAAAATTGACTTTTCACAAACACTCACATGGGAGTTTGAACTTTTCTTTCTACGAACCTCCAAGGAAGTGAAACTCCAGTGTTAGGGAAAGCAAGCCTGAAAGGGAGCAAGCATCATTAGAACAGATGCAAATGAATATTTGTTGAAAACTGTTTAAAGAATTCACCCAATCTCTACAGAGAATGGCTGAGAACTTCAAAGCAGTCTACAGCATAGAGCCACACATTTCATTTAAGTTAATGTGTAGCTAAATGCCCTTGACTGCTCAAATTTCAACCAATGAGTACATTTGTTAGAGTAGAAGGTGGTATCTGAACAATTCAATGATATTTTTGAAAGCTTCATAGATGTACTATATTTTAACAAAAATATTGCCCTTTCCACCTCAAGGGCTCAGGTATCCCCTCTTAGTACTACCTCAGATGGCACTTTGAGGGTATAAATGAGATTCTTTTGTTTTCAAATGAGTCGCTCTTCTGCGCATTTCTCTGTGGAACCTGAATGTAGTAGTGTGTGTTATCATTACTTTCCCCTTCACATGAGTCTATTTCTTTTAAACTCAAAATATAATTTTACTCTTAACAATTGTTTCTTTTTGTTCATAAAGACTTGGGTGGTGGGGCCTATTAGTCAGGATTGGCCAGTTAAGTAAGCAGCAAGCTAAATGCTGCAATGACACTTAGGCTGGTGCTGTGCTCAGGACCCTGGGAAGTCAATGGGGATGCAGAATGGCTTCAGCTGACTGTAGCAGGCATTGGAGATGCGCTTCTTGGGCTTGACCCCTGCTACAGAACGCAAGATGAAGAGTCACATGAGAAATTCCTCTCACTGCGTTTCCCAGCTTCATCCAGAAATTGTGTATCTCTGTGAATGGATTCCTGTAGTTGCAGCTATTCAAAGTAGCTTTTGTTTTTATTTGGTTAAATGCTATGTAGGTTTTGAGTAGGCAGAAGCCCGTCAGAAAGACAGATAGGTATCAAAGTGGTATCAGAAAGTTTGAGTGCTGCCAGTTACTGCTGCTGCCCATCACTTGGCAAGTGAGAGCAACTTTGCAGAAATAGAATATCATCATTGTGTATCATGGCCATGACCAGGGCATTAAACCTAGATTCTAAAAAAACCCTCATTTTAGGACCAAAAATATGCAGCTGAAGGTTGACCATTTTTAAAGTCAATCTAAATTTTACAAATATTTCACATAATGAAAATATTATGATCAGGCTTCCTGGCCAATGCTAATACAAGCAGAGTTTTCTACATCTTCACAAGTGGCATAAATAGCCCAGGCATTTTCTAGTCGGGCACTGTTAAGTCATCACTGGCAGAATCTATTCAGAAGTACTGTATGATCCTCATTTCCATTAGACTAGCACCAGCAAAGAAAAATCAGCAAGATAAGAAGCACTGAAGTGCAGTATGGAGTAAAAAGCACAGATGTGAAATTTTACTGTAAATGTGTTTTTAAAATGTGAATTACTGTAAAATATCTATTTTTGGATTGTGTATCTTTTCCAACTATTATAGTTTGTAAACAATGAATGAAATATTTAATATGTACGATATGTGGCTTTGTTAGGGGGTTTTTTGTTTGTTTTTTTGGTAACTCATGTCAATGGTGCACAGAGTGCCCATAAACCTCTATCAATTGAAACAACTGTTTAACAAACCTAGGCAAGCCATGCCCGTGATACCGCTGTAGACCAAGGTGCCCTTCAATTGCTTTTGCAATTCAATTTATGATTTGAAGACTATGGCTGAACTACAACCTTAGATTATACTTACAAGCATATGTAGCAAGAGTCTGAGACAGACATTTGAAAATAGTCCATTTATGGTGCCCATTAGGGCACTATGCTTTGCCGTTTCACTATAGCACAGACATGTAAGTAAAAGACAGAACAATGTTCTAAGGCGGGATAGTCTATTATGTTTTTGTCAAGGTCCAAATTTTCTTGGTCAAGGTTCAGACTCTAAAGAAAATAATAAACAAAATAACAACAATAAGTAAATAAAAAGATTTCGGGGTCCATTCAAAAGCGCTTGGAGGTTGAGATTTGGCCCACAGTCCACCTATTGACTATCCCTGTTCTAATAATGTTTACTCAAGCTCCATATTCACTGGGGTTGGCTCTCCGTGCACCCCATATAGGCATATACAGTGGTCAGGACTGTTGCTCCATTGAGGATGGTAAGTCTATGTTCACGTTCAATAGCAGTACCACAGTATTGCTACTGTACAGGAGTGCTGCTTCATGAAATTACCTCACTTGCTGAACAAACGTATGAGCGAGTAAAACACTGTAAAGCTTGTCTACCCTCAAATAGTTTCTAAAATTTCAAGTGAATTAGATTTTTTTTTAATCATACAGAATTGATTCATCAGTGAGTCAGGAACGTACTGCCGTTTTAGACACACATTAAGATGATACAGTTAACTGGTATGCTGAACACACATTGTAAAACATTTTATAAGGGGAGTGGCTGTTTGGACAGAGGAGAAACTGCCTGCTAGAAATTTGAAGAGAGAGTCTTACAGAGCCTCAGCTAATATAAATTGTCATATCTCCACTGACATCAATGGGACTATAAAAATTTACAACTGCTGAGGTTCTGCCCCTTAGAGAGCTGCAAGTTAATATTGCTAGTAGTGCTCTCACCTCAAATGTGTTTGACAGAGCTACAGCTCTTCAAACAACTCATGACTGGTACATTCTTCATTATTCACAGTTTTCAGACACACCCAAGGCAACTTTGAACCACAGAGGTATATTGGGAATAACTCCATTGAATCCAGTGGCATTATACCAATGTGACCAAAATCAGAATCAGGCCCACAGACTACACAACTAAAAATGCAAGTAATTTTGTACTAACATACATACATTGTACATTCATTTCCAGAAGGAATCATTTTCATTACTTTCAAATACATTACACTGTGAAAACTAGTGTTAAACCATAACGTTTTAAGCAGCAGGTTATTGCATAGGTATTTCCTTCCTTTGTACCTCACAATTTACTTTTGTTTTAAAACTGCACACATTGGCTAATATTTATTTTTGACAATACTGATTGATATTTAATTACATAGAGAATTATAATAATACAGAAGATTCTTTTAGTAATTTCATCTGCAGAATCAGACCAATGAATAAAGAGGAATTAAAACAAATTCTTATGATAATTAAATGCACTGAATTTAATTTACAAAAGTAAATAAAAATCATTTGGGCCCTAAATTGAGATTGCCCAAATAGATTCATTATGAATAGCCTGTTGCACTAGGTTATTAGATTCAATCACCTTCTATAGCAAATGTAAGCATAATTTTGTATTACCACATCAATCCTACAGACATGCCACATTTGGTAATGTCTTGGATGGCTTAATCTCCAGTTGGGTGAATGTAAAATCCATGCACTAATCTTGGTCACAGTTTACAAAGTAGAACTTTCCTTTGTGGATATGTGAGATATAGTTTGCGTGTGTGTGTGTGTGTGTGTGTGTGTGTGTGTGTGTGTG